GGCAGGCCTGAACCCAGGGCATGAGCAGACAGAAGTCAGACAGACCTAAACCCAGGGCATGAGCAGACAGAAGTCAGACAGACCTAAATCCAGGGCATAAGCAGACAGACTAACATATTGATCAGCTACAGGCTAAGTATCCAGCAGTCTACCTAAGCTTTTCTGATTATGGCAGGTGTGTGCTGCAGCGTCCTAAACTTCAGTGCTGAGTAATAACCAGCAGATGGAGAAAGTGTCAGAATGATCAACGCACAAGGCAATTTAAACCTTAGATGGAACAGAAACAGGATAGAAGGAATTTATCCAACAATGGGATCCATTTAGGGCACAAAACATGTCACTTTTAAACCTACCCTGCTCCACCGCTGAATTACACGCAACCGTGATTGTCTTCATCTAGGGAATTACATCTCTTGAGAATCCTAAGCCTTATCCTAAGGAAGTAGGAGGAACTCTACCTGCTCTTCTGGGCAGTGTGATAGTGGGTCCTGGTGTGCCGATCCCAGCATTTCAGACATGTAGCAGTGCCAACCTCCACCACTGGCCACAGCGGGAGAGTTCCTGGACTGGATCCAAGAGTCACTTCTGGGCCACAGATAAGCAATTCTATATATTACATGTGTGAGTGCATCTTGAATAATAATTTGACTTTCTTTAAAATCACTTGTTACACTATGTTGGTGCACTCTCGTTTGCATTGCACATTCTTATACTATATGTATGGCAGCAGCAAGAGACCACTGGTGAACTATCTTGAAGGATTGAACACCTGTTCTGATTCTTATTGCCTCCTTCCTCTGCATAAGCATCTTGTTCTGCCTTCTTTGATTAGTCCTCAGGGAACTACCAATAGGTAGTACAATTGTGACAGCTTGGACAACCCCCCATGCCTGTCCATGGCCACCTTGTGGCTAGCTTCAGTCTAAAAATGGATTACCACTTCTTTCTACACATGATTTCCATAAGCCTTTGTTTGCTTTTTACGTTGTACAAGCAACATATTGTATACATGTCCATATTCTTGTTACAATTTGCAGCAAAAATGTCAAATCTCCTGTAAGACATGTGATTGCATTACGCAAGAACATCTGCTCTTCTTCCATGTGCTGAGCATTCATGTGAAACAGATGTTTGCAGAATGCTACAACAATTAGCACAAGCTCCCCCCAGCTTTAGTCACAGGGATTTCACCCGTCCTTTTGTGCCACTTCCAGATGCAAGACGCATTGATGATCGGCCTGTGATAGATTAGCGCAACGCTTAAACACAGTGTTCAGAAAGAGAACTGCTCTGGTTGCAAAGAACAAGCATAAAGCATAGTAAATAATAAGGTAGGAGCACCATGTCATTTAAACGTTTTTTTTTACTTCACTGCATGAAGAAGGATGCAATCCTTGTATTTTTTATGTCACATAAGGGAATTTCCGAGGTGCATTCCCTCCTTGTTCAGCAACTGCTCATACCAGCAATACCTTGAAACATCCTCTTCACTTCACAAGTATTGTATCCTTTTAAATGCGGTACACTATATGGCCAGATCAGGGGCGTAACTAGAAATCACAGGGCAAAATTTTGTATGGGGCCCCGTGATTGCTAGTCATGCCACTTGCAGAGCCCCAGCGGAGAGTGACCCTGCAGAGCCCACCATAGACTCTCTATAGTGGGCTCTGCAGGGTCTGAGATCTCTTACCTGTCAGCGCCTCTGTGGTCACTGGGTCCCAACTCCTGTTCCGTCCCCGGGCCCCGACTCCTGTTCCGTCCCCGGGCCCCGCCTCCTCTGCTATCGACGGGCCCCGCCTTCTCTTACATCACTGGTCCCACCTGCTCTTAGGTCGCTGGCCAGTGATGTAAGAGGAGGCGGGCCCCGCCTCCTCCATTCCGAACACCGCCCTCATCTGCCGCAGCGACTGGCTGTCACTGACACAGTTTTGCAGCGGCTATGAGGGGAAATGCGCCGTGGCCTCTGCTGAGCTGTGTCTGTGACAGCCAGCACCCCCACATGCCATAGCAACCCAGGCAGCCCTGGCTGGGCCCCCCTGTGCCCGGGCCCCATAGGGGCCGCATGGGTCGCTATGGCGATTGTTACGCCACTGGGCCAGATATATGTAGGCACCCCTCAGAATGTTTGTGCTCAGGTGCTTCCAGTGAAGGGTACTGTGAATGGTGTTATAAGTCTGCTGCATGCAAGAGGAAGCCTTTCCTTAGTCTCCTCTCCCTCAGGTGATAGGACTTCAACATTGCAACTTTGTAGCAAGTCATGAGAGAAGAGGCTTCAGCGGGGGTTAATCTGTGTCCAAACATTTTCAAACTGCACAAGCATGAGTGCAAGATTGTGACATCTCTGAGCTGGCATCACAGGAAGTAGATGCTGACCCCGGCTGATAACTAAACAAAGATGGTTCTATTCTACTAGAAAGAAAAGCAGATCAAGGCATTGCTGGGGGGGTATTGTGATCTCAATAAGATGCAATAAATATTTGTATTGGAAATTACCGGTACATATAACTAAGAGGTGTATGCAATCAATATGAAAAATATCTGATGTTAGGTCTAAGTTACAAGCAAGCAAGAAATATCACACTATCACCTATAAATAGTAGAAATTATGTAGTGATGAAGAAGAGAATAGCAATGATGGTTACAGGGGTAGATAATAGTACATGATGGTTACAACACAAGAATAATTACACAAAGAGAAATAAATCAGCATAAATACAGCAACAGGCCGCAAGTTTCAGGAATGCCACGACGATTGCCATGAAGATTGCTGAATCAGTGGTCAGATGGCACTGTATATGGGTCCACTAAAGGGCCTTGCTAACAAAACCATATTTTATTTCTGCAGTTCTTAGAACAAAAAGTCATAAAACTGCCAACATTGTGCTAATTAGACATGTGCGATTCGTTTCGTTCCGAATCGAAATTCGGACGAATTTTCGGAAATTCGGACATTCAGATGTATCCAAATTCTGAATTACAGACATAACGAATGCAAACAAATCCGAATTTCCATTTCTGAAAATTCGGTAGCGGTAGTTCGAACGTTCGTTTCGTTTTCGGTTCTTATTGGTTTCTTATTCATTTCGTTCGTTGGAGCAAAGTGACATTAGAGAATTAGAAAAATATTTTTTCCCCCTCAAATGTCACTTTGCTGCAAACGAATGAACGAAACGAATAAGAAACGAATAAGAACAGAGAACGAAACGAAAGTTCGAACTACCGCTACCGAATTTCGTCCGAATCCGAATTCCGAATCCGAATCGACTTTCACACCCGAATCCCGAAAAACGAAATAACACAAATCCGAATTTAAAACGAAACAAAACTAAACAAATTTTTTGGCAGTGCACATGTCTAGTGCTAATCACTGGATGAAGCAGTATTAATAATCTAGCTAATGAGCAGTACAGTAGTTGTTCTAAGCTTTATGCCAATTTAGTATCTTCTAGGTGTAAATGAACCTCTACACTACTGATGTTGGGTTGAAGAAGCTGTAACCTCTACTGGACCCAACAATCCTTCAGACTCCAGCTCGTACCAAATTCAGTATCTACGAGGTTTAAAATTAACCTCTACACTAATGATGTTGGGTTGAAGAAGATGTAACCTTTAATGGACCCAACAATCCTCCAGACTACAGCTCTGACTCTCATTGGGGAAAACATTTTTGTTTTTCCTCCTCCAGAATAACTGGAAGCAGGTTATCATCTAAAAATAGGAAGGGGGCAAAGGCCAGGATCGCTAGCCTTCTGTGATGTCACCTTATGAAAACTGTATTAGTTCACTATACACTAACAGGATAATATCTGTCCAGTTAGGAAAGGTTCAACCTAGCAAAGGAAATAGTATTTTCTGACTTTCACAACCACAGATCACAAGTTTATTGTTTTATGTGAGACATAGCATGTACTGTATATGATTACATTTGATGAAATGAATACCGATCTCCAGGCCTTTCTTTGACCCCGCGTACCCTCAGAGGTTATGCGGGGCCTTTGTTTAATATGAGACTTTTCAGGTCGTGGCCTGTATCCTATCCTCCTCGAAACCCCCCCCCCCCCACCCCCCCCACCGAGCCCCCAGCCCCCACACATCCCTCCCCCAGACCCC